CGGCTCTTCTGAAAGGTCCAGAACAAGCACAATCGCTGATAAGAATTTTATTGCAATTTCGACAGGGGCGCAGCGGAGTGTCAGCCGACATTCGTGAAATGTTTTCACAAATAAAGATACGCCAAGTTGATCAACACGCCCTACGCTTTTTATGGCGCGACGGAGACCAAAGTCGAGCAATCGAAGAGTACGCGATGACATCACTAATATTTGGTGCTGTATGCTCGCCATGCATAGCCGAGTACATAAAGAATAAAAACGCCAACGAATTTAAAGCACAGTTTCCGGACGCCGTATCCACGGTTGTCAACAAACACTATGTTGACCATTTAGTTGCCAGTTTTAACGAGCCCGAAGAAGCCGTAAGAATTTGCCAAGAGATAGTTAAAATAAATCGACATGCGGGTTTCGAGCTGCGAAATTTTATCTCCAACTGTCGTGAGGTAGAAGAAATAATGAACCAACAATCAACGTCGCCAGCAAGAGAAGCGGTCAGCATGGAGCGAAACGGGAAAGCAGACAAAGTGCTCGGCCTGTACTGGAACACGAAAGAAGATACTTTCGGATTCCACACACAGTTTCATCGCGTGCCCCACGATGTCCTAAACAGAACGCGTGCACCAACCAAGCGGGAATTACTTCGCATCGTTATGGCGGTGTTTGATCCACTTGGTATGTTGTCTAACTTCTTAATTAATACTAAACTTTTAATTCAAGAGACCTGACGACATTCTTCCGATGGAGCTAGGTAGGAAGTGGTTACAATGGTGGCAAGAATTCAACAGCGTGAAGCAATTCACGATTCCACGGTGCTACTCACCCCTCGTCGCAAGCATGGGTAAAGTCGAAGTGCATATATTTGTCGACGCTAGTCAAGTTGCGTTTGCTGCGGTGGGGTACTTGCGAATTCTTCACGAAGGAAATGTTGACGTCAGCATCGTATTGGGAAAAACCCGTACCGCTCCGACGAAGCTTATGTCGATCCCGCGCCTAGAACTGCCGTCAGCTGTCCTGGGCACCCGTCTATTCACATTCCCACGACAGCCGGTTCTACGTACCGGGATGACTCGGGTTTTACCCGACCAAGGGCTGTTGTTCCAGCGATCTAACCCCGTTTAGGTCGGCGAAATCCATCAAACGTTGCTCGATCCAAGGGCTACACCTTCTCCGCACCCCTCTGCTCAGGGCTGGCTTAGAGTCAAACCCAGGGCCAGAAATCTACACCTGCTGCGTATGCCAGAGACGACTGCATACAAACTCCATCTCGGTCAGGTGCAATGCCTGTGACGGGTGGAGACACCTCTGTAACTGCTCGGGCCTGCGTACGCACCGGCAATGGACCACGTCGTTCGTGGCCCCATGCTGTGCGCCTCCACGGCAAACCACCAGCCGCCTGGGCAGCACACAACCAACACACCCACACCCCAACTCAACAGAACAATAGACACACAAACAAACACAATAGCACCCACAAACCGCCGCCGGCAACTCCTAGTCCCTCCGACAATCTGCTGTTTGTCAGTCCAGAATATACCGTAACGTGACATCAGTCAAGTGCAACTCTTGCCTCGGCTGGTGCCACTTTAGGGCGTGCTCAGGACTTCGCAACACACGAGATTGGACGAGTGACTATGTGGGCCCCTGCTGTGCTGCCCCGTCGCATCCCTCCCCCGCGACGCCGCCAACCACCACCACAAGGCAGCACCCCCTTTTGCAGCACGTACAGCAGGGGGCCGGAAGGCAACACAACTCTTTAACACCACACATCACAATCGGTCTCCCAAGGCACACAAAGGTGCTGTGCAATTTAACTGTAACGGACTCCAGAGCAAGATCGAGGAGATAACTGTCTTTATGGGAAGGCATGGAATATTAATAGCTGCGGTCCAAGAGACGAAGTTGCACGGCAATTCAACCCTGTTGAATTGCGCCGGATACAACGTGCACCGTCGAGATCGCGAGCGAGATAATGGTGGAGGTTTAGCGTTCATCACGCACCACACCGTGCAGTATCGTCTCATTGAAGCAGACATAAGCCGCAGGGATACCATCCTAGAATGTCAGGGTATTGGTATCCGGTCAGGCGATGTTGAGCTCGAAATATTTAACGTATACATACCCCCTGTCACCAGGTTAATTTTATTTAATAGATTTTTGTAGTTGATGGTGCAGTCGACAACGCCTACTACGTTAATTCTTTTGCCTCCAACCCCAACGTACGGGCATTTTGGCTTTATGTGCCCACGTTGACTGCAGTTGAAGCATAGCGGCAGATCTTTAACGGCGGGCAGCTCCTCTCTGTTTTTAGTTGCGGCGGTCGGCTTGGTCAAGGCAACGGCGTTGGCGCGTTTGATGGCAGCGTTCGGAAGAAGGTATTTATCTAGATAACTATTGACCATAGTTTTGAGCTCGGAGAGCGACCGGGCCGCCATGAGTAGATGCACGTTACTCACTTGCTGGTTGATTCCATCGAGAATAAAGTCAATCAATTCCCTCTCATCGACATTGCCCCGTTTTGCCAGTACCTGCCTGGACGGGATGTAAAAGTGTAAGGTCTCCCGTCATGTCATGTCTGCTAGTTGTGATGGCGAATTCCTCCATGAGGGACGTGGTGGCGGTGGCGGTCATTCGGTCGACCATATTTTCGGCA